TCAGAACACGGCCAAAGAGCCTGAAAAACCCACAACAACCATCATATCCCGGCCATAGAACCCTTTGAGAATACAACCTTTCTAATGTCTGTCTATGATGAGGTTCCAGGTTACTTCCTGGTTTACATGGCTAGGGAAGGGCACCGAAGGAAATAGGAGAGGAGAGAGCCCTTCTCATACTCTACATTTCATTCCCAGCTGCTGGAAATAATTTTCTTATAAAATGTCCAGGAATTGCTTATATGCCAGATAAAAATTACAAACAGCCCAGGACTTGGAAAACAAGACAGATTCAGGAAGAACAAGAGAGTTAAGAGGAAAAGAAGATTCATTATAAGGATATGAAAGTCTTTAATTCTCCATTTCATTCCTGTTGTCATAATCCAAACTGCATTCTCATCCCATCTTTGGATCATATCCGTTTAAAAAACATCATGTTTTTCTTCTTGCAAGGGATTTTTTGGGAATTTTTTTACACATGTATAATGCATACCTTCCCCCCATTGGGTGAAATCTCTTTGTTTCTCTTTGGATCACAGCTCCCAGAATCTGAAGCAACCATGTCAGCAATCAAGATAGGCTGTAGGCTATCCTTCTTTGCTCGCTATCATTTGTTCTAGGCATTTCTGTGATTATTTTCTGGCTCCAAGCGATAGATACCTAGAGAACTTGTTCACAAACAGCTCCGACAGTTGCTGTGTGTTTGAGTGAGAGGTAGTTAATTGATGAAAAGAGGAACCAGTTTCTGGGATTTTATCCAGCTTTGTGTCTCTTTGTGAAAGGTTGTGAGAACAAGAGGTTATGCTGTGGTTCCCAGATGTTCTTGGACTAAAACTCCCAGAAGCCTTTACCACTAACTGTGCTGGCCAGGATTGATGAGATATGTAGTCCAAGAACATATAGGTGACCCAAGGTTGGGAACCACTGCTGTACACCATTTTGATTGCTGTCATTAGTGTTGTCGACATTCAGGCAGTCCTTCACCCTATAAAGTTTGGTATCCTTTTCCTGCTGACAATGTGGACACGATATTGTGCATTTTGAATCATGGTTACAGAATCACAATATGGTCTTTTAATTAGTGTGATCTGTTTTAAATCTGGGAAGTTTAGGCTCACCTATTACTGAAGAGACATCAACATGATGTATTATTAATAATAGGGGTCCGGGCAATGTGTCGTTTTAAATAAAACCAAATAGAAGTTGTTTATTATTACAGGTGATGAAGGTACAATTGGTGTCATTAACTCTTAACAAAACATCCCACTTCATCCACCCTCTCTCCATTTTGGAGTGGGTAGAAAGGGCCAACCCTCTCTCTATCCACTCCAAACTCTCCCATTCTCAAACCCTAAAACTCCAATCTTCCAATCTCTCAAAACTCCCATCTCTCCTCCTCCTCCTCCTACAGAGTTTCTTATATCTTGTGACTCCGCCTCTCCAGCACTTTCATTGGTACATGCAGATAGCATATGAATATTTATGAACTGGGTGGACACCACAACGGCCAAACAGCCCGAAAAACCTACAACAAAAGAACACGATAAGTTAGATATTGAAAGACTGGGCTTGTGCTGGCAATGGGACCAAGAGGAGGGCCATCATAGCTCTATGTTCCATTCCTTTTCCCATGGTGGCCCCTGTCTGGGTTTCATGGCCGCCTTGGAGCCAAGGGACACATTTTGAGAACCGTTGGGCTACTTCCATTTACTGTATTTTTCCATGTATAAGACTATACTTTTGTATAAAATCTTTAGACTAAAAATTCGGGGTTGTCTTATACACGGAAGTAATCTGAGGAGAGAAAAAAACAAGCGGAGGGGAAAGCAGGGATCAAAGTGATCCTGCAGGGCTTTGATCCCTGCTTTTCCCCTCTGCTTACTAAGTCCCATGGGGCTTAGCAAGTGTAATGGAAAAGGATCAAAGGAATCCCATGACTGTATAAGGGGGAAAGGGATCGAAACGATCATGCAGTCATGGGATTGCTTTGATCGCTTTCCCCCTCCTTTTGCTAAGCCCCACGGGGCTTAGCACGAAGGGAGAAAGGAGGGATCAAAGCAATCCCCCAGTGCTTTGATCCCTTTCCCCCTACACTTGCTAAGCCCCACTTAGATTTCTTAATTTTGGGTTAGAAAAGGGGGCGTCTTATACATGGGAGCATCTGTATTCTGTTTCTATGGTCCTGGAGGTGATAAATGGATACGGTTGCATAGGAACCCTGGCCAATTGTGTTACAGTTCTGTAGTATTGTGGCTCTGATGTCTAAGCCAGAAAGCCTTTCAAGGACTCTCTGATTCAGAAAGAGAATGTTGATGGTCTTAAACTCTTTCTACTTGGAAGAGGGCTGCCAATGAGATGTGGGAATCCCTGCCTTTACCACATGAATGTTGTTTGCACAGGTGTGGATCTTTGGTGGATGTTTGCCCTGAGAGTGTGCACTCTGTATG